CCTCCAGTCCTCTGACACCACTCCAGTGTCCAAGGAGGATTGAAAGATTGTGGCCAAAGCCTCCGCTATTTCCACCCTTACTTCCTCAGTAACCTCGGATGCATCCCGTCCGGACCGGGTGACTTATCTACCTTGAGCACCGACAACCTTTTTTAGTACCTCCTCAGTTTATTCTTATTTTATCTAATTTCTCTATCCTCTCCTCTGTGGCTACATCCTCATCTTTTGTGAAGACAGAGCAAAGTACTCATTCAGTACATCAGTTTGCCTCCACAAGAAGATTTCCTCTTTGGTCCCTAATTGGACCCCTCGACCTTTGACTAACCTTTTATTCTTTATAAAAGAATAAACTCCACCGGCTCCCTATCCTTCAGAGGATCCAGTTCAAGATTCTGGTCCTCACCTACAAAGCCCTCCATGACCTCGCCCCGCCCTACCTCTGAGATCTCCTAACCCCTTACCAACCCGCCCGGTCCCTCCGCTCAGCCGTCTCTGGCTGCTCCACATCCCCCGACCACCCGCCCCACCATTGGCGGGAGAGCCTTCAGCCACTCTGCCCCCAACTTCTGGAATTCCATTCCCCAATCACTCCGCCTCACCCCCTCCTTAGCCTCCTTCAAGTCCCGCCTCAAGACCCTCCTCTTCGACCATGCCATCGGCCACCTCCCTTCACCTCCCCTCCCTTCTCCCCCCCGACCCCAGCTCTGTCCAGCGCCTTGGGACGTCTTCCCGATGTGAAAGGTGCTATACAAATGTAATCTTGTTGTTGTTGTTTATATGCTAAAAAATCCCTCAGGGTTCCCTTTTACGTTACCCGCTAATCTTTTATCATAAAATCTCTTTGCCCCTCTTATGTCCTTATTCAGTTCTCCTCTACGGTCTATATTCCATTTGATTAGCTTCTGTATTTTGGACCTGACATTTATCATAAGCCTCCGTTTTCTGTTTCATTTTAATCCCAATTTCCTTATTCATCCAGGGAGGTTTGGATGCCCTACCTTTCCTCTTTGTGGGAATGTATTTGTTCTGTCCCCAAACTATCTCCTCCTTGAAGGCTTCCCATTGCTCATTAACTATTTTACCTGCCAATCTTCCTTTCCAGGCCACCTTGGCTAGATCCCTTTTTAACTAACTGAAATTAGCCTCTTCTAGTTGAGTATTTTCACCTTTGATTGTTCCTTGGGCTGCTTAATCCAGGACCTCATGTGAGGGACCTTGGCAAATAAAAAACATTATCTTTGCATGCAATTGGATGTAACCACAGCTACCTGATCCTGGGAATGGAACTCAAGCCATTTGGATAAATGGCTCTTATAAATGACTGATTTCCCTTTGACCGTGCCTTCAGCTCCCCTCTCGACTCTCTTCCCCCTCCTCGCTCCCTTCCCTCCTCCCCTCACCCTGACCATTTGCCCCTCCTCGCTCCCTCCCTTCCCTCCCCTCACCCTGACCATTTCCCCCCAATGCTCGGGTCCTGATTCAACTGTACAGTGCCTTGGGACATCCTCCCGACATGAAAGGCGCTCTATAAATGGAATCTTGTTGTTGTTGTTGTTGTTGATTACCACTGAAAAGTTCCTCCACGAGATTGTATTTGAACACAAAGTCGAAAGCCGTTTAAATGGTTACACCAGCTATCCCTTAGAAGCGGAGGCGGAGTGGTGTCAGAAATAGATTCAGTCTAATGTTTAGTCCTACTCTTTCTTTCTAGTCCATTATTTGCAGCCCTATTAAACTCCTACAATTTTAAGGTCATTCATTCTTTTAAAAATAAAATGCTCCTCCATAATCCTAGTGAAAGAGAACATTTCCTTGTGGGAACAAATTAGCCGAAGTATTTTGACAACCACTGCAGATCTAAAAATATACAGTACTCTTATTATTTTATAAACTCTTGGGCAAGTCTGTACAGCTCTTGTGAAATGTGATATTACTTCCAACCAGTAAAGATGCTATTCTTTCCATTCTGTGCACAATTGGCTGCTGTGTTTCGCCCACAAAATGCACAGTCAATTCACTTCACAGTATATTCTGTGAAGAGCTTTGAGACGTCATGAATATGTGAAAAGGCGCTGGATCAAATGCAAGGATTATTATTATTTAAACCATCTGCTGGGTAGAAAGCAATTGATTAAAAAGCTGTATGATTTCTTCTAACAGAATTATAAATTCTGCATAATCTATTTCTAGTTTATCATTTGATTGTTTAGCTGTTTAGAATAAATTAACCCAATGTTTATCATCAGCTCTGTCACTTGCACTTGGTGCACCCTAAATCTGCTCTTAATATGGAGCCGTATTTTTTAAGCTTTTTTTTCCTTAAAAAGTGGGGAGAAGGGCTTTCCGAATAAACCTGGATTGTATTTTCAGACAAAACTGTAGTTGTATAAAATAGTGCAGTCCTGTAGCATAATGGTTAGTGCACTCACTCGCAAGTAAGCAAGCAAGCGAGAGGACTCGGGTTTGATTTGATTCCTCAGCGAGGTGAAACCTTAGGTAAGTTTCCTTATTCCACACATGGGCCTCTGTTTACCTAGCAGTAACTAGGAACCCGGGGGGTAAAAATCCCTCCAAAAAATAAATAATGTAGTCACTGAATCCACAACATTTGTGGGACACTGCTGTGCGCAATTGGCTGCCGCTTGCCCCGCAAAAAAAATGCAGGCATATTCTGTGAAGTGCTTTGAGATGTCTCAATGAAGCACTATATCAAATTCAGGGATTATTATTATTATATTGCTGTTTAGGAATGAAGCTGGTTAGAAGTGAGATCTGAAAACATTTCTTCACTGTGAGATTGCACACAGCAGTGTCCCACCAACAGTCTTTGATTGAGTAAACATTATTATTTTTTTAAAGGGATTATTACCCCCGGAAATGAGATCCGCCAATTGACTAACAACCGGATTCCTACTTACTGCTAGATAAACAGAGGCGTGTGGAGTAAGGAAACTTGCTTAACGTTTCACCCTGTCCAGGAATCGAACCCAGTTCCCCTTGCTTGCAAGGTGAGTGTCCTAACCATTGAGCTGTAGGACTCCAGGACTTTAATGAGAGATAGACCAGTAGATACTAAGTAAGCGTACTTATGGGGTTTGGAGAAATAGGATTAAAAGATCTGACATGATCCAATAAACTGACAACATAGGCTAAATGACCTCCTCCTGTTCCCTTGAGCAAATATGTTTTTGTTGTTCTTAAAATATAACTATTGATTGGAAACAAACATAGTTTGGCAGTAGAGTGGAAGCTGCTTAAACCTGACCTCGGTTAATCCCAGGAAATCAAACAAAATGCCTGATTCATTTGTATTCTCAGCTATTCTAAATATGCCGGATAACGCAGAAAATCTGATTAATCTGGACAAAATGCTGCGCCGCTCGCTGCTGCGTCAACTCACTCTGTACTTGAGCTGCTCCATTCAGCCACGAGTGGCTCCGGGATGGAGATGGGAGAAGTCAAATTGTGATTGATTGACAGCGGACCCCAGACATTCCCAAGAAGCTCCATCTGTCAATCAGTGAAGGGGTGGGGGTGGGGGGGGGGGCAGAGAAATGGGGCAGAAACAAGAAGGGAGGATTGACAGTTGGAGCAACCAGTGAATGGATGGAGTACTCACCCGTTCACAAGTGTTTCCAGGCTGTCAATCCCGTTGGAGCCCATGCCAATTGGTCCCTTTCCCGTTCAATGGGAACGGCAATGGGAGGGAGGAGGTGCCGCCGGCCCTCTGCCGGCAGGAAGAGCGAAGAGAACCTTGGTTAACCCCGGACGCCTCTTAAACCGGACAAATCGTCCGCCCCCCCCCCCACCCACCCCATGTGTCTCCTGAAGCGGCTTCCTCTGCACTTGCCGTCCCTTTTGAGTTGAGAAGGGAGGTCCTCCTGGTGTCGCGGCCAAACGGTCGATCGGATAAGCGAGCCGTTCCCCTCGATAGCTCTGTCTGCGCGTGCGGGGTGTCGCTTTGCCCCAAAAGTACACCGCCTCCGCGTAACTTGCTGTGAAATAGTGCGAGACCTGGCGACACGATGGGTCCAACGTGAGGATTATTATGGAACAAAGCCAGACGTCGCAGGTCAGGCAGCATCTATGGAGAGAGGAAAGTGAGTCAACGTTTCAGAGCTGACGAAAGGTCGCGTCCGCGACCTTTCGTCAGCTCTGAAACGTTGACTCACTTTCCTCTCTCCATAGATGCTGCCTGACCTGCTGAGTGTCAGCCCCTCCCACTCCCTCTCAGCCCCTCCCACTGTTCCAGCCCCTCCCACTTCTCAGTGCCTCCTGCCATCTCAGGCTCCTCCCATCCCAACCCCCACATCTCAGGCCCCTCCCACCCCAACCCCCCCATCTCAGGCCCCTCCCACCCCAACCCCCCATCTCAGGCCCCTCCCACCCCAACCCCCCCATCTCAGGCCCCTCCCACCCCAACCCCCCCCCCCCCCCCACCCCCCCCATCTCAGGCCCCTCCACCCCAACCCCCCCATCTCAGGCCCCTCCCCACCCCAAACCCCCCCCATCTCAGGCCCTCCCACCCCAACCCCCCATCTCAGGCCCCTCCCACCCCAACCCCCCATCTCAGGCCCCTCCCACCCCAACACCCCCATCTCAGGCCCACCCCAACCCCCCCATCTCAGGCCCCTCCCACCCCAACCCCCCCATCTCAGGCCCTCCCACCCCAACCCCCCCATCTCAGGCCCACCCAACCCCCCATCTCAGGCCCCTCCCACCCCAACCCCCCATCTCAGGCCCCTCCCACCCCAACACCCCCATCTCAGGCCCACCCCAACCCCCCATCTCAGGCCCCTCCCACCCCAACCCCCATCTCAGGCCCCTCCCACCCAACCCCCCCCATCTCAGGCCCCTCCCACCCCAACCCCACAGCCCCGTCTATTCCACTGTGTTTTTTGGTGGTGGTTGTTGTTGTTGGGGCCACGCCCACATCCGCTCTGTTCTCTGACGTTGTCGTGCGGTTCCTTGCGCGTGACGTCAGTGAGTGCGTCGTGCGTGAGTCTCGGACGTTGGCGCCATCAACATGGCGGAGCGGAGAGAGGAGGTTCCCCGCGCCCCCGGCGGCCCCGGCTCTCCGCGCCCGGTAAGCACTGCCCCGCCCCCGCCTCCCCCCACCCCCCCGCCGCAGCCAATAAACTCAACCAACCGCCGCGGCCGCTCCTCACCCCCTCCCCCCCCCCCACCTCACCCCCACACACCCCCCACACCCCCCCCGGTCACAGCCCAGCGGCTCCTCAGCCCCTCACACATGCAGGAGGCGAGGCGAGGCCTGGGCCAGGAGGCTCTCCTCCCCCACCCACCAACAGCCCACCATCAGCCCCCCGCCAACAACAGCCCTCCCCCACCACCCCCCTCCCCCACCACCCCCTCCCCACCAGCCTCCCATCCCTACCAACGGCTTCCCCCCCACAACGGCTTCCCTCCCCCCCCCCCCCCACTAAAGGCTTCCCCCCAACGGCCCTCCCCCCAAACGGACCCTCCCCCCACCAACGGCCCCTCCCCCACCACCAAGAGCCCCTCCCCCACCACCAAGAGCCCCTCCCCCACCAACAGCCCCCCCCACCCCCTCCAACCAGCCCTCCCCATTCTCCAACACCTTCCTCCCAACACCCCCCATTCTCGCTCCCCCCAACAGCCCCTCCCCCATTATTCCCCACCCTCCCCCAGTCTTCCCCACCAACACCCCCCTCCCCCATTCTCCCCGCCAAATCAGCCCACCTCACTCCATCCCCCCATCAACCACAACCCCCCACTATTCCACCTTTTCCCCTACCTTCTCCCCCACTCACTTCACTGTACCCCTCACTCGCCCCAGTGCTACCATCACACCATCTCTTGCCCTCTACCCCTCTCACCCACATTCTTTCCATTCCTGTTGCAGCCATAAACAAATCAACCACCTGAGAAGTTTGGTTGATTTTTTCATGGTCTATTCCAGGACTCTCAGTCTGTGGTGCTCCGTAATCAACTGGTAGATGTTGTGAAAAGAGATATCAAAATGCAATGGGGCTGTAAAATTTCATTCATTGACTCCATTGGTGTGACTTGTTTTCCAAAACAAAATGACTCAGAAACAACATCCATCTGTTCCATACTACATTTACATTCTGTTTCTTTGCCTTTGGCCCTTTATGGTTTCGCGTAGCCTGCAGATTTGCTTTGCGTATAAAATCAAAGCTGTATTTTGTATTTTGTACTGTACCTGTATGAGGTGTGGAGTCCTGTGGTGTATTGTTATCAGAGCACTCGCCTTGCAAGCGAGAGGACCTGGGTTTGGTTCCTGGACAGGGGGAAATCTTAGGCAAGTTTCCTTACTCCAAGCGCCTCTGTTCACCTAGCAATAAGTAGATACCTGGTTATTAGTCGATTGGCAGGTTACTTTCCAGGGGTAATAATCCCTTCAATAAATAAATAAATAATAATCTGGTCACTCAAACCCTGACTTTTTGTGTGTAATTGGCTGCAGCGTTTCACCGAAAAAATATACAGTCAATTCACTTTACAATATTTTCTGTGAAGTGCTTTGAGACATCTCGATGACGTGATAAAGCTCTATATCAAATGCAAGGATTATTATTATGATTATTAGTTTTCTCCCATACCCTATCTCACCTAAAGCCAGTGAGTTTTATACTTATACAGTCACTATACTTTGCTGAAGTGATATTTCTTGCAAGAAGCTTGACTGAATATCGCTTGTTTTGACTGTGAGGATGTTGTGGCCACAATCAAACCTAACAGTATAAACACATCTACTTCAATGAGAGGTTTGTGAAAAACAAATCAAGGGTGTGACCCTTTAATGTGGAGGCTGATTGTGGAATCTTCACTGCTGTGGCTCACTAGTGGGAATGGAAGTCAGGATAAATATGTTTTGGCATTAACCATAGAATTATATCGAACACTGACTTTTCTATGAATCTAAGAGGTGGCAAAGCATTCTGATCCTAATCTTATTCAAATTGTGCAGTGGTTTTATTTCATCAGCCTTTTCTGCACAGTAAGTTTTAATGGGATAAAATTGTGTTGTTAATTTCCTGATCCAACTTCTGCTTCATCATGCTGTCATTCTGTTCTCTTTGGCCTTTCAAAGCAGGTCTTTTGTATCAAGCAATGAATAATAAAAGCTTGGAAACTTGAGCTAAAAATAAATTGTACAAACTTAGGAGCTGGTTAAAGGCAGACTGAAACATTTTTCTTTGCTATTTTTAATATCAGATTATTAAAAATAGTCTGTAAAATGTATACCCTTATTAGAGTAGAGATGTATTGCACTCACTCCCAAGGTGATCCCCTCTGATATTACATAGAAGGTTGTACTGTTATCCACTGTCACATCCCAACCCTGCCACTGTACAGTGCTCCGAATTGCTATCCTGTGTGAAGGATGCTGTATAAATGCAAGTTGTTGTCATATTGAAAGTTGCTTTTTGGAATCTGTTCTTTCTCTTAATCAAGTGCAATGTTTCTGCTAACAGGGTGAGGAAGCCTTTCTTGTCAGTGCAGCAAGTCATTCTCCTGGCACCTGGGCTGAAGATGGCGAAGCTTGTAAGTGTTTATTTTCTTACAATTGAAGAACCTGGGAAACCAATCTTAGAAAAACATTTCTATCAATCCTACAATTCACTTGCCATTGGGGTCAGACAATAAGGTTACAAAGTCAGGATAGAAATTGACAAAAATGATATGGCCACTATCTCAAACAAAGCTATATTGTTCTTCCAAATTTTTTCATGAGCCAATGTTCTTCATTAAAATGTTCAGTAAAAAAAAATTGAGAGCTTACCTGATATTAATAGCTGTTGCTGAGTTCTGAATTTTTTTTTACAAACTTTTCAATTTGGTTTTCATTGTTATCCGATGCTTAGTTTAGAATTTTACTGAATAATCCACCCAACCCAAAGTCTATTGACTGTATTGAAGCCCTGAGTAAATGTAGAGTGATTGATGTAGAGGCAGAGGTTGAAAACAAATGTTCATGTTATTTTGGGTACAAAATGGGGAAAAGATTAGGAAATAAGAAACAATGTTTTACACACAAGACTAATTTTAAATGGAATTGTCAACGCTAGCCCCGTATAAAGATGTGCTCACAATCGTTTGTAACTTATTTTCTTTTTGTGAACTTGGTCGACATTTTGTACTTAAAAAAAATTAAGGTTGAAGCTGTCATTTTAATGAATTCATCTCAGTTTAGCGTTAGAATTGCCAATGCAGATTTACTTTAAGGGGATTTTTTTACCATACTGTCTTGCAAACAGTGTAAAGGATATTAGATAGAAAAAAAGTGCTGCCTTTATTCAAAGTTTACTTCTTTCAAAATTGGTCACATTCTAAGAGAAACATTGGATAGCATATTCCTCATGCCAACTAATAGAATAACACTGATGTCCGATCAGTCACTGATGTCCATATATCAATGATATTGCACAGTGCAGCAGCTGGAAAGGTCCACCTTTCACTGGCAGCAGGAGGCCAGAAAGTGATGGTCAAACTTAATCCTGATATTCAAAGATAACAAAGTCTGTATACAAGTGTGGAATACCATCCAGTTTCTCTAAAATGCACAGAGAATGTACCGCAACTCAGAGAGTGAATCACACTGTTGACATTCTTCCAGTGAGACCACAACTCGTTTTGTACCTGAAATATCATTGAACATAAAAAGGAATGTTAAAATACACACGTGTCATCATCCCTTCGTTGTTGCCAGCTAATTCTTACCCAGGGTAATATTCCTATGCATTCTATTGGTGAAATGACTCATATTTATCAATTCTGTCAATTGAAACATTTTTTAGTTAATGAATACACTCCAAATCTTTGGAAGCCTTTGCAAATCTTGCAAGGACAAATCCTCCAACTACAACACATACATTTGTATACCCATATCTGTATATATCTGCATTTGTATACACATATATCTGCATATTTCTGCATTTGTATACACATCTGTATATATCTGCATTTGTATACACATATCTGTATATATCTGCATTTGTATACACATATCTGCATTTGCGCAATTTGCTGCTGCGTTTCGCCCACACATTATACAGTCATTCACTTTACAATATATTCTGCGAAGCACTTTGAGATGTCTTCAAGATGTGATAAAGCGCTATATCAAATGCAAGGATCATATTATTCATATTATTTTTAGTCAGTACTTACTCACTGACACAAACAGAATAATATTACCAATAATAGACACTTTAAGCCACAAACTGTAACGGGCACAACTAAAGCATTACTTTCACAATTCAATACATTAGAATCTGTTCTAACACACTTCATTAAAAAAATGTAAAACCAATAGAGTAGTGATAATGAGGGATTTCAATTATCCAAACCTAGACTGGGAAAAAAACAGTGTAAAGGGCAAGGAGGAAAACTTTCTTGATCAGTATGTTTCCAGCCCAATGAGAAAGGAAGTAGTGCTGGATCTAGTTCTGGGGAATGAAGAGAGGCAACTGGAGCGTGTTTTAGTGGGAGTCCATCTGGATAGCAGTGATCACAACATCATTAAGTTTAGAGTATATATGGAAAGGGGCAATGAACAATCAAAGGTGAACTGGAAGATGGTTAATATCACTGAGTTGAAAAGGGATCTAGCTAAGGTGGACTGGAAGAAAGATTGGTAGGTAGCAATGGGAAGCCTTAAGGGGAGATAGTTCGGAGACAGAACAAATACATTCCCATGAAGGGGCAAGGTAGGGCATCCAAAGATCAATGGATGACTAAAGAAATTGGGAATCAAATGAAACAGAAAAAGGAGGCTTATGATAATCGTCAGGTGCAAAATACAGAAGCTAATCTGAAGCTAATCTGAACAGAATATAGAAAGTGCAGAGGAGAACTGAAAAAGGAAATAAGAGGGCAATGAGTCCCGGAATCGTAAAATTATACAGCAAACAAGGAGGCCATTCAGCCCATCGTGTCTGTGCCGGCTCTTGGAAAAGAGCTTCCAAATCAATCCTGCACACCGCGCTCTCCCCATAGCTCTGCAAACTTGTCCTCTCCAAATAATTATTTACTTCTCTCTTAAAAGTTGTTATCGAATCGGCTTCCACCGCCCTTTCAGGCAATGCATTCCAGATCTGAACAACTCGCTGTGTGAAAAAATTTCTCCTCACCTCCTCTCTTTTAACAACTATTTTAAATCGGTGTCCCCACGACACACCCGCGGAAATAGTTTCTCCTGAAAGCTTCTATTAAGTCTCCATTTAACCTTCTCTGCTCCAAGAAGAATAATCCTAGTCTCTATAGCCTCTCCTGATAACTGAAGCCCCTCATTCCTGGTGCCATCCTGGGAAATCTCATTTGCATCCTCTCCAATGCCTTGACATCCTTCCTAAAGTGTGGGGCCCAGAACTGAACCCAGTCTCGAGCTGAGGCCTAACCAGTGTTTTATATAAAGGTTCATCATAACTTCCTGACTTGTGTACTCTGTGCCCCTATTTATAAAGCCCAGTATCCCGGATGCTTTTTTAACAGCTTTATCTCCCTGTCCTGCCACCTGCAAAGATTTCCTTATATGACCCCAGGTCTCTCTGTCCCTTCACCCCCTTTAAGATTGTCCCATCAGCTTATATTGCCTCTCCTCATTCTTCCTCACAAAATGCATCACTTCATAGTTCTCCACATTAAACTTCATCTGCCGCGTGTCTGCCCACGTTACCAGTCTGTCTATGTCCTCTTGCAGTCTGTTACTATCCTCCTCACTGTTCACTACTTTTACAGCTTAGTATCATTTGCAAATTTGGAAATTGTACTCCCTATACCCAAGTTCAGGTCATTTATATAGATCACAAACAGCAGTGGTCCCAATACTGATCTCTGGGGGACACCACTGTACACTTCCCTCCAGTCAGAAAAACAATCATTCACCACCACTCTCTGCGTTCTGTCTCCCAGACAGTTCTGTATCCGTTGCCACTGTCCCTTTAATACCGGGGCTTCTATTTTTCTTACAAGTCTCTTATGTGGAACTTTATCAAACACATTTTGAAAATCCATATAAACTACAACAAATGCACTACTTTCATCCACCGTCTCCGTTACTTCATCATAAACTCCCATCAGGTTTGTTAGACATGATTTGCCTTTAACAAGTCCATGTTGGCTGTCCTTTATTAACCCATATTTTTCTAAGTGAAAATTTATTTTGTCCCGGATTATAGTCTCCAGAAGTTTCCCCACTACTGACGTTAGGCTGACTGGCCTGTAGTCTCGGTTTATCCTTCTGCCCCTTTTTTGTACAGGGAGTAACATTTGCAACCCTCCAGCCCTCAGGCACCACCCAAGGAGGATTGTGGCCAGAGCCTCCACTATTTCCATCCACCCTTATTTCCCTCAATAACCTAGGATGCATCCTGTGTGGACCGGATGACCTATCTTACCTTGAGCACCGACAACCTTTTTAGTACCTCCTCTCGATTTATTCTTATCTTATCCAATTGCCCTACCTTCTCCTCCGATACTGTGGCATTGGCTGCATCCTCTTGTGAAGACAGATGTAAAGTTCTCATTCAGTACGTCAGTCATGCCCTCTGGTTCCATAAGATTTCCTCTTTGATCCCTAATTGGCCCCACCCTACCTTTCACCAACCTTTTATTCTTTCAACTGTTATTGAAGGGAAGTATTCAGTAGTGTCCCTCAGACGTCGGTGTTAGATCCACTGCTCTTATTAATTTATATAAATGACCTGGACCTGGGAATAGAGAGCACAGTTTCCAAGTTTGCAGATGATACAAAGCTAGGAAATGTAGTAGGTTCAAAATTATGAGAGGATTTGATAAAGTGAACAGGAAGAAACTGTTGCCACTGCCGGGTGGGTCAATAACCCGAGGAAACAGATTTAAGATAGTTGTCAAAAGAACCAGAGAGGAGATGAGAATGTTTTTTACACAGCGAGTTGTTCGGATCTGGAATGCACTGCCTGAAAGAGTGGTGGAAGCAGATTCGATAACAACTTTTAAGAGAGAAGTGGATAGATATTTAGGGAGGACAAGTTTGCAGAGCTATGGGGAGAGACCGGGGTAGTGGGATTAATTTGGATAATTCTTTCAAGAACCGGCACGGGCACAATGGGCCGAATGGTATCCTTCTGTGCTGTCTGTTTCTATGATTAGAATTCTGGTTTAGGTATAAGGCCAGTACCCTGTGGACCTGGGCTGGCTTCCCATCTGCTAAAAAAAGTGTCAGTGGCACTTCCTGTGCGCACTGTGCAGGAAGTGACTTTCTTTTGTGCTTTTGTTTTAATTCCTGAGAAGGGCCTAAAGACTGGACTTGAGATGATTACATTATAACTGGGTTGTACTGCACTAAATGCACTTCTGATTTTATGCTACATACACCACCTCATGTCATAGTTTGTTGTCACATTACGCCAGCACTGATGATGCCTGTCCTGGGTGGCCGTCTTCCTAATGTTATAGATATATCGGATAAAGGTTTGGTAATGAACCCTTACCTGAGCCTTTGTTCAAACTGTCAGGTTTGTGACTGCCAGTATTTCAAAAGCAGGAAGACACTAGTTTGCGAG